ACTCATAAAATAAGTACCATCTCTAGATTCTAACAACATTGTGTAATCCCTCATCTCTGAAATCTCTACTCCAGTGCATTCCTCCTTTACCAGCCTACCCAGCCCGGCAACAACATACCTCTAAACTCTCTTAGACCTTGGTTTTCTGTCCGTCTGACATTAACCAGCATAATTATTACAAGAAAGTGGGTTTATTGAGAGCGTAATAGTCATTTGGCAACTGAAATTCATTATACCACACCATACAAGTTGTTGAGGTACACAGTAATTCAATAGAAATATACAAGAAACTAGAGGAGCGATTTTTATAGATAATAATTCAAAGTCCATTGTTGATACTGTTGTGTACAGTTTATTGAATAAAGACACTTACTTAGAAGTTGAGAATTATATATCGTCACAGTCAAGCGAGTTAAAAACAATGCAAAAGTACCATGTTTTCAAGATTAGCTTATGACAATTGTTTCAACTCAAGCTCAACTGCTTAAATAACTAAGATACTCAAGAATCAGCATCAAAAACTCCATGAACCAGAATCGCTAAAAACAAATAAATCAAACTTCCGTACCAGCCAAATAGGAAAAAGAACTCAAAACATGATACTTACTTGTATTTCAAATTCCTTCAACTGTGGGGCAGCCCTTATTATAGATGTGCAGCCTAAGAGGCTCTGGCCTTTCCATCTCAATGTACATCTGAATGTGATGAAAACAAATTTCTTGAGCTTCGCAAGTATAGGAAAATTGTAATGCTCCAATTCTTCCTGCGGAAGTTCCAACTACATAGAAGGTACCAGTTAGGTGCTAAGCTAGTAAAACAAGCGTAGATAGACTCAAGTTCTGTTCACTAACCAATGAAAAAGCATCTAGTGTAAGGACCTCCAGCTGAGAGAGAACGCAAGAAAGATGAGAGGATATGTCATTCAATAAATGAGTGTATGGCACACACAAAATGTGTACATTAACCAGTGTCGGAACATTCTTAAGCATTAATACCCTTCCTGATGAAGTCCCTAATGTTACAAGGTTTGTATCACAAATTTTAAGTGATTCTACATTACGACAGGACCATATCTCCAAGTGCCTCAGGTTGAGGGACGGACCAACAACTTCCAAATTTACCAATGTTCCTGATTCATGAACAACCATAGTTTCAATAAATGGACAATTGTGTAGAAAGAACTCGAGAACTTGTCCCGTCACATTTACGGATTTCAATAGCAACATTTTTAGAGACTTGAAATTCTGCTGGACAAGTGGGTGTATTTGGAGTTTATCAGAATGAGGTTTAGATGAAGATGAGTGAGCAAAATCACCAAGACCAAGGAGCCGTGCTGGAAAAGCATAACAGTTATTAAAATCACGAGGATAGTTTTCCTCTATACGTAAGTCTAATTCTAGTCTTTGAACTTTCCTAGAAAAGGCAAATTCAAGCCATTTATCAATATCATACTGGGCGTATTTGTCTAAATCAAAACAAATTCGAAATTGGCTGAGTGTTTGCTCTTTACACATTTGTAAAGTAGAGTTGACCCATCTCAGATACTTCTTCCGTAGCTTGTATTTCGAGGCTACTTCATCCAAGGGTTCTGTAGCATCAAAATCAAGCCTATCAATACATGTCCACAAACTTCGCCAACGCCTTGAGAGGATACTTGTGTAAGATGCTTCTTCAACAGTAAGAGAAGACAGTATATATACCAGAATTTCATCAGGTAACTGACTAATACGATCTTCTGCAATACAGACTCCCTGAGAAAAAAAAAACAATTGACAATCGATTCCTAATAACAACAACAGAGTGAAACTCACAAACTGCTGTGAGACAAATCAACTAGATAGGGAGAGGAAAGTTGTCACCTTTTTTAGAACAGATCGTCGCTGTCTTTTCCCCATACAGAGAGAGTAGAGCACTGTTTTCTACAGGAGTGTGAATTAAGGGAATGAGATAAAGTTTGTATTTTTAATTCGTCGAATAGAATGAACTAACAGAACAACAAATAAAAAGGAACCAACATGGGTTGTGGTGGTTCAAGCCCAGGGTCATGTTAAAGCGGCTTCGTACACCGGCGGCGGGGAAAACATATAAAAAGGGAGCCTTAATTACAGTTTAGAGTCTATACCACCTAATGCACAACATTGAAGATAAACTGTACCTGTGATCGGAAGAAGAAAGACAAGGGCTGATGACGGCGACAGAGTTGTTCCTCCCTGGCAGGGGT